GTCAAGCACATCAAATCTAATGATTTTACCAGCAAATTCCATAGTAAGAGTACCAGCATGCACATCTATCATAGCCCTAGCAGTCTTAAGAAATGGCCTACCCAAAATCAAAGATGAATGTCCCTTTTGCCTAAATCTAGCATCATCCATATCAAGAACATAGAAGTCTGCAGGAAATATGAGATCTTTTACCTTCACCAAGACATCCTCCAAGACTCCTTCTGGAACTACACAGCGTCTGTCAGCAAGAGAAGCGATTAGATTTGTAGGCTTAAGATCCACACCTTGAAGTTGAGCAAAAACTGATTTTGGCATGACATTGATAGCCGCTCCTAGATCTGCTAGAGCATCTGAAAACTCAATGTTACCAATGGTGCACGGTATGAGAAAGCTACCAGGATCCTTGCACTTCACTGGCATTGGCATTTGATAAAGAGAGGAGACAACCGCCCCTAAGTCAACTTTGCCATCATGCTTAAGCCTTCTCTTGGTGGTACACAACTCCTTCAAAAACTTCGCATACTTAGGCACTTGTGCAACTAGATCAACTAATGGAACATTGATCACCACCTTTTTGAAGATATCATAAACCTCTTTGAACATCTCAGCTTCTTTCTTTTTCCTTTCAGCCCTAATCACCCCTGTAGGAAAAGGTAAGACTTGCTCGCTCACTTTCTTCCCTTCCCCATCTTTTTCTTGCTCTTCTTGCAATGCCACATGTGGTGTTGATAAAGTGGACTTATTATGCGATGTGGAAGCAGGGGGAGAATCTTTAATGATAGCTTCCTTGTCCGTTGAAGCATGGGTAGTGACAGGATCTGCAGAGGTAATTGAATTTCCGCTTCTAAGAGATATAGCATTAATTCCACCAATGTTAGGATTTGCTGGGTGCCAACATTAGGGTTAACTACTACTTGAGATGGCAACTTCCCTGAGCCTTGACTTTGCATGTTACTAAATGCATTAGATAACTGCCCAATTGAGTTTGAAGATTCTGAATTTCTTGGCTATGTTGCAAATCCTTTTGTTCAAACTTATCCATCAGGAGTTTCATCATGCCTTCTAACTTTGAACTCTCATCTTGATTGGGCATAGTTTGCCTAACTTGTTGGAACATTTTACCACCAGAAGAGTTTATGCCTTGATTGAACTGTGATTGTTGAGGCTGGCCACTCCCATATCTGAGATTTGGATGGTCACGCCATCCAGGGTTGTATGTATTTGAGTAAGGATCATATTTCTGGCCACCTTGAGTCATAGGCTTAGTGTGGTATACTGCATTACACGAGTCAACTCCATCATTTAGGTAAGGGCAAGAGTCAGTGGTGTGAGTAGCTAGAGAGCAAATAGAGCAAAGTGGCCCAATTAAAGCTGTAGAGTCAGCTTGTGGGGTGAAAGTAGAGGAAGATCCCACAGAAGGAGCCATATTTTGGGAGTTTTTCATCTGAAATACAACCATTTTCTCCATAGCAGATGTTAACTTATCAATTTTACTCTCAAGGCGAGACTCAGAATAAGATGAATGCAATCCAACTTCATTTACTCTAGCTTGCTGCCTAGTACCAAACTGTTGGGTATTTTCAGCTTTCTTTTCAATCAATCTCCAAGCAGCTTCAACAGTCAAGTCAAGAAGAGCACTTCCAGCAGCAGAATCTAGTAAATCTCTCTCAAGAGGCAAGAGCCCTTCATGAAAATATTGAATCAACAATGTATCTGAAATTTGGTGGTGAGGGCAACTGGATAACAATGCCTTAAAGCGCTCATAATACTCATATAAGGATTCCCCAGACATTTGTCGACAACCACAAATATCCTTCCTGATGGAGGAAGTACGAGATGCTGGGAAATACTTTTCCAAAAACAACCTTTTCAGCTGGTCCCATGAAGTAATGAATCCAGGAGGTAACCGAAGAAGCCAATTCTTCGCAGAACCTTCCAAAGAAAATGGGAAGGCACGCATCTTAATCTGATCCTCAGACACACCAGAAGGCTTCATAGCAGTACAGATCATATGAAAAGTCTTCAAGTGATTGTATGGATCCTCGCCTGCAAGACCATTAAATTTTGGAAGTAAGTGAATCAATCCAGACTTTAACTCAAAATCAGTGTCAATATCAGGATAATTAATGCACCAATTTTGAAAATGCAAATCAGGTGAAACCAATTCCTTGATAGTCCTAGCAGGATTAGCCATGCTACTGTCAAAATGAGAAGAGTCAGGACAATTAGAGGAATCAGCAGTTAACTTAACAGAAGAATCACTTTCTATAAGATTGCTAGCTTGAGCCCTCCTTCTTTGATGAAAAGTCCTCTCAATCTCAGGATCAAGTTCAAACAATTCTTTGCTAGAGGATCTAGTCATGCACTAAGCAACTATCACAAATCAAAGTGAAATGAAAAGAAGGAAAGAAAAAAATGCACCGAAAAAAAAAAACAGAGAAAGAAAATGCAAAATCACCTAGAAATCAAACCTAAAGTTTAACCATTGCTCCCCGGCAACGGCGCCAAAATTGATGATGCCTTTTGTCGTCAAAGCACTCAATTAAACTAGGTCCCAATTAATTTGTAGTTTAGGGTCAACCTAGGTCATTACTTCCAAGGAGCAAGTTATGGGTTTCTTTAAGTAAAAATTTAGGTGATAAAAAAATGCAATAAATCGGACCTAAACTAAAATGTAAAATTCTAACTCTAAAATGCAAGATGCAAATATCCTAAAATCTATATGAAAATTAAATTAAACTAAATGAATGCAATGCAATTTTTGGGGGGTTTTTTTGAAAGAAAATAAAAATAATGAATAAAGAAAATTAATCAGAAAGAAAAGAAAATTAAGAAGTGAAAATTGAGAAGTTCTCTTCAGGTAAGGTAGAGGGGACAACTTAGGATTTGCATGGATTTAACCTTCATAGCCTTAATCAGTTAATTAGACCAAAGGGAAGTGATAAGAGAGTGGAATTAATAAACTTAATCACCTATTTGAAACAAAGGGAACCCTCAAATTCAAAAACCCTTAAACCATTAGAGAACTCATAACAGTGTAAGGTTGGTTAATTAAACCTATTAAAACCAATGAAGATAATTCAATTTAATTTTGGAATTTATGTTTGAAATTATCCAGTTAAACAACTAGACAATTAACCAACTTAATTAAACAACTAAGAGGCAAAAGAACCCAAATTTTGCAATTCAAACCACATTGATAATTAAACTCATAATGAAAACTCAATTATAAATTCAATTAACAATGCAAAGGTTCTAAACATAAATTCCAACAAGTATCTTGGCATAAATAAGATCCAAATATCAATTTAATCTAAGAATAAAATCGACAATCTAGAACTAAATTGTCTCAACAAAATTACAACTTGAACTCATTTAAAACTTAACAATTTCAAGTCCTTGAATTAAAAAGATAAATGAAACATCACTCCCTTGTGGTCTTCAAGTGCTAGCCCAAGGCTCTAGTTTCCTCCATGCTCCTCCCAAGTTGCCTCCCTATAAGCTTAAGCTTCCATCAAAATGTCTCTTCCTCCAAACTTGTTAGATGCCACGGCCATGAATGATGGGTGTAGATGAGAAGCTGTGCGTGCAGTGAGAAAAAAATGAATGGATGATGATGAGGGGTGATGATGATTGTTGGGTGGACGTGGAATGAAAAGGAAAAATGGAAAAGGGCGTGAGGCTAGAGGAGTAGCGGTGAAAGGGGAAGATTTGACGTTGGGTTGATGATGGTCTGAATGGAGATGGAAAGAGAGTGATATGTAGGCGTGTTAGAGGGATTATTTTAGGAGAGAAAAGGAAATTTTCTTGGATCCAAAACTCAAGCCCATTAGTAATTAACTGACCCACTTGATATTAGCCATTGGATTGTGCTTAAATTCCAAGAAACAATCTTGCACCATTGGATTTCCCATATACTCTTTCTTGACCTACAAGAATTTAAGTGCATCTATTAATGTAGATTATATCCAAATAAATATAATCTCTATCAAAATTAAATATTAGATATGCACAAAAATTAGGCAAGAAATTGCAAAACTTTCTAAAACTAATCTTTCTAAAAATATGAGACTTGTTTCCAAAGAAATAGGAAAAATTGATTCCAAGTCAAAAATAGGAAAGCACAAAATATCTATATTTTTAATCCAAAATCTTACTTTTTATGCAAAATCCAAAAATCAAAAAATGTATCCAATAATGCATAAAAAATCTAATTAAGCTCAAAATTATCATTTAAATTCTAATTTAATGTGGGATAAAATGTATAAAAATTGGGTTTTATCAGTGATTGTCTTGGTTATTTTTGTTGTAGGATTGCATGCTAGTAGAAGACCAGAGGTCTTCAAGGGTTTGCTTGTGTTATTGAGTTGTGAATCCACAATGATTTTTGAAAATAGTTAATTACTGTCAGTTTAGAAGAATTTTATTCAAAAAATATCATATTATAGGCTTAGAGTTAAAAGTGATATTCTAAATTTCGTAAAACCCAAGACCCAATTTGTTTAGTAAAGCCCAACACCCAATTTGTTTATTTTCATAACTAATTATTAGTTCGAGTCTTTTTTATTATGGTTAACATTTCTGGCGAATCAAATTTCTTTCTTTTTTTTTTATAATCATGGTAGCCCTTTCAAAGATTATATTAAGATTGTTTCCTACCATGGTTAGTATTATTAAATTTTGAATTTAAAAAGGTTAGTAACAGGTTAGAAATAATTGTTGTTACAGCTCAAATGTGTTAAGATTCATGGCGCAGCGAGCCACATCATCCTCTTGTATCTATCACAAATGGACTTATGATGTGTTTCTTAGTTTTTATGGCGATGATACTCGCTTAAGTTTCATCGGCCATCTCTATGAAGCTCTACGTCAAAGGGGAATTCATGCCTTTATTGATGACGAATTCATTAGGACGGGAAAAGAACTCACACATGCTCTTTTCAGGGCTATAGAAGAATCAAGAATAGCCACCATAGTTTTTTCAGAAAATTATGCAAACTCAACATTTTGTTTGGAGGAACTTGTAAAGATTTTGGATTGCTTCAAGGAAGAAGGCCGGTTGATATATCCAATCTTCTATTATGTGGAGCCATTAGAATTGCGACGACCAAGAGGAAACTACGCAGAGGCATTGGCTCGATTGGAGGAACGATTTAAAGATAACAAGCTGAAGGTGGAGAAATAGAAGAGGGCTTTGTCTGAAGCTGCTGAACTCAAAGGCTGTCATCTAAAACCAAAGTATACACATCTTTTTATATACCCTTTTCCCTTTTTTTGGGTAGAGTTAATTCGAATTTCCATGTTAGTACAATATGCTCAAACATAATCTATGAAGTCCAACATGAAAATAAAATTTTCGTCAATTATGTTCCATATTTGTCGGTTTTACAATATTTTATGGAAAAAATGTTTTTATTTTTTTCAAAAAGCCCTCACAAAATATTTTTGTATTTTATTTTTCTAAAGAAGATAAACAATAATCAAGCATGCCCTATACTTCCCTCAATAGCAGCTAAATTCGATTAACTAAAACACAATCAATTCATGTGATTACTTTAATTTTTTCCCCTAATCATTGCAATTGAATTTAAGGTCATGATGCCACACTTGCATATATCATCACTTATTGTGTGAGGAATGAAACTACTATTTTCAATATAGAAGATCAGGTTAAAAAAAAAAAACAAGTTTTTATTTCTAAATTGACACATCGAATAGTTGGATTAAAAGTAAACTTCTTACATATTGGTCAAGATTGCAAAAGAACAAGAGTGTATTACAAGGATCATCTGTGAAGTGGCTACTAGGATTAATCAGGAGCCTTTGCATTACAAATTATGCTATTGGACTTGCATCTCAAGTGAAGGAAGTCATCTCTTGTTTAGATCTTTGGTCTACTAGGAAAATTAAGATGATAGGAATTTGGGGACCTAGTGGTCTAGGTAAATCAACTATTGCAAGAGCTGTGTATAATTCGATCGCTGATAATTTTGACAGTTTATGCTTTCTTTCCAATGTAAGAAAACAATCTAAAAATGCTGAATGGTTTGTCACATCTTTAGGAGACATTACTGTATAAATTAGTCATGGAGAAAGATCTCAAATTGGGAGATTATCATGAAGGAATACCAATAATAGAACATAGGCTTAGTCAAAAGAAGACTCTTTTGATTCTTGATGATGTTGAAAAATTGGACCAATTAGAAGTGCTTGCTGGAAGTTGTAATTGGTTTGGTTGTGGAACTAGAATCATCATCACCACTAGGGATAAGCAATTGCTTGTGAGTCATGATGTTGAAAGCATTTATGATGTCAAAGAATTGAACTACAAGGAGTCTCTTAAGTTGCTTAGTTGGTATGCCTTTAAAAAGAAAAATATGGATTCCACCTACATGGAGGTTTGCAATCGTGCAATACATTATTCGTGTGGATTTCCATTAGCTTTAGAAGTGATTGGTTCTAACTTGCATGGTAAGGGAGTCAATCACTGGAGTTCTGCATTGGATCAATTTAAGACAACACCGTATCAAAGAGTTTTGGAAGCCCTAAAATTAAGCTATGATACTTTAGGGGATGTTGAGAAAAAAGTTTTTCTTGATTTGACTGTCTTCTTCAATGGTAAAGAATTAGAAGATGTCAATTATACCCTATTGTGTATTCATGGAATACAGCTAGAATATGCTATTGAAGCACTAATTGATAAATCACTCACAAAGATTAAAGAAGATCGTATAAACAATGCATGACTTGATAGAAGATGTGCGTAAAGAGATTGTTCGACAAGAATCACCACATGAGCTGGGTGAACGTAGCAGGTTATGGTTCTATCAAGACATTCTTCATGTCTTACAACAGGACACAGTAAGATCACATATTCACATATACATATCCATTTTGTTTTATTTAAAATTTGCTCATGATTTGTACATATCTAAATTTTGAAATTTATTGTGTGTTTTTCATTTGAAAAGGAAACTAACAAGGTTGAAGCCATAATTCTAGATTTACCAAAAGGTATGGAAGTACAATGGAGTGGAGAGGCATTCATGAAGATAAAAATCTTAAAATGCTTGTGATAAGAAAAGCATGATTTTCCAAATGTCCCAAACATCTCCCAGACAGTTTAAGGTGGTTGGAATGGAAAGAATTTCCTTTCAAATTTTTAGCATATCATATGCGCCCAACAGAGCTTGTTTATCTAGACTAGTCTTTTAGTTATTGTGAATTGCTCCAACCATTTGATAAGGTGAGTGAATGTCTACCGCTTGCACTTTCTTTTCTTTCTTTGCCTAATTCTAAATGATATATGACATTTGTTTTGCAAAGGTTCCACAGTTTAAGTCGCGTGAATTTTAGAAATTGTAAAGTTTTACAGCAAATACCGGACTTATTTGGAGCTTCTAGTTTAAGAGAATTGTTGCTCGATTGTAGCACAAATTTAATTGAAATTCATGATTCAGTTGGATGTTTAAATAAAATAAATTGGGAAAATTGAGTGCCATGCGATGTAAAAAGTTGAAAGTTTTACCACCTGGCCTTAGGATGACGTCTCTTCAGCATCTCAACTTCTTCAGTTGCTCAAGTCTCAAGAATTTTCCTGAGATATTAGTCATGATGGAAGAAATGCAAAAACTTGATCCAAACAGGACAGCAATTACTGAATTGCGATCTTCAATTTGCAACCTCACTGAACTTAAAATCTTAAACATGGAGGAGTGTCCTAATCTTAAGCAACTACCAGCTAGCATTTGTATATTGCCAAACCTTTGGAAGCTAACAGCAAATGTTTGCGAAAGAATGAGGCATTTTAAGATATGTGAAGGTGACAAAGAAGCAAGCTTAAGTTGCTCAGCAATGTCTTTGAAATTAGAACATTTTCATTTCTCAGACTGCAATTTATCAGATGACTCTCTTGCTCTTGGTCTCCCTCACTTCCCAAATATGATACATTTAGATCTAAGTTTTAATAATTTCACAATTCTTCCTGAATGCATTAGAGAATATCGCAATTTGAAATATCTTTTGTTGGATAATTGCAAGCAAATTCAGCATATTCCAGGGATGCCACCAAACTTGGAAAAATTCAGTGCCATATGTTGCAAGTCATTGACTAAGTTTTCTAAAAGCCAAGTATTAAAGCAGATATCTCTCTTTTCACCAGCCATTCTCTCTAGTTATACGTACATGCATATTCTTCTATTACTTATGTGTTAGCTGGCATTTTTTTTAATAATTTTTTTGGTAATATGCAACGATAGGCACCCAACTTTAATCAAGGAAAAGAAACTTTATTTTGCAAGGAAAAAAGTTCCCAGGAAGGCTACACAATTGTAGTCGAGGAACTTGTATGTCATTTTGGGTTCGTACCATGTTCCCTCCCATATGTTTCTATGGATTCTTGTTAAAGATTATCAGGATTATATCCACAATTGCAAATTCTCTGTGTGCATCAATGATATCAAACTAGATATTTCTTCTAAGTGGCTTTTATTATCAACAATAAAGACCGATCACATATATATGTGTGATATGCAAAGTATAATTCACAATATTGAACTCCATGTAAATAGGTGGAACCAAGTGAAGGTTTCCATTGAGAGCAAAACACGGGAAAGATATTTTGGAGTACATGTATGCAATCTACAAAGTAACTTAGAAAATATTCAGTTCATGGATCCTCGAAGATATGTTGATCAAAACTTGTGGCAAAAAATACAAGAGAGCAACTGGAAGATTCAGATGAATTCGAGGAAGATATGAGTTTGGACGTGGATTTTCAAGGTATTTTTTTCCCCTTCAATTCTCTTTCTTTTTGTGCTACCATTGATATTCTTTCCCATACTATGCATGCTTTCCGACATAGCTGTTTTGCAAGTCAGACGATACTATAAGAAATATGGGAAATACCTTTTTTTATTCACTCTCTGACAATAAAAAAATTATCTTAAATCACATCTCACATAATAATCAAAGGGAAATATCGAAAATACCTTTTTTATTCATTGGTCATATCTCCAAATTGGAGTGTTCCTATCATGGTAATGTCATAAATTTTCCAGTTGAATTTACAAGTGTTCTGCTAATGGATTTTGTTGAGGTGTTAGATAAGCACCAAGTTATCATTTTCCCCTGTCTTGAGATGCGCACACGTTGTTTGATAAGTAGCCCCAATGACTTCTGTGCCTTGCTCATTAAATTTGGTGATATATGTCTTGATCATTTTAAGTTGTTACTAGTAATCCCTTTGATAATGGATCCTATCCCCTACATCTCACTTCTACATCACCTATGTAGTTGCATTCAAGTTGGGTTTCGGATTGGGCATTTACATGGCTTAATTGCCTTCACTTTGCCTGTTAGATGTTATGCTCTGGAGGTCCAATTGCAATCCCATAAATTTGTGCCTTCATCCCTTGTAAAGGCACTAATTGCTATTAAGCTACAACATAAAGGGAGAGCATATACGTGTGATGCGAGACTCATGCGGTAACTTATATTCAAGTTCTTAAAGGATTTATTATATTGCTGCAAAAATATGGATTCTTTGTAAACCATTTTAGTGATTCTTACCTTGTTATTAATGGTAAAATTCTCAACAAAGTGTGTATACACATATTTTAAATTTGAAAATTTTATTTTATCATACACAGTCTATTATTTAATGGCCTTCCTTTATTTTATAAAACTGTTTAAAAAATTATTCGTAAAAAATTAAGAACAATATATAAAGCTTAATCGATTTCAATCGCATTTCATAGCTCAACTTGTTAATGTGAAATGGTAAAGTTTTCACGTTGACACATGAAATTCGTTTCCCAATAATTATCAAATTTAAAAACAATAAATGTCCATCAAGAAGAAAGAAGCAACAGCTTGGTATGAACTTGAATTGTTGGACAAAAATTCCTAGTCAACCTCCGAAGTCTTCCCCAGCCAAGTCTTCTTGGTCTTTTCTTGTGTAATTTATAATAAACATATATAATGTTTCAATAGAACCCATGTTAATTCCTGTCTTTTGTCAGGTCAAAGGAAATTATAATGTTCCCGTTCCATGAAACCTTCTCTAATCTTCACTTCTCCTTTTTTTTCTTTTTACCACCACACTGTTATTTATAGGATGGACCGATGGAGATAGAGTTTTTTGTTTTCTTTTTTTTTCAAGGAATGTTTGAATTAGCTTCTTGAAATATTTTTTATAGATTTCGAGATAATTAGTAATTTTATAAATTTTGAGATAACAAGTGTTTTACCTCAATTTGGATGAAAATATTTTTCAAGTACTACTTTCAATTTTAATATAATAACTTGTTTAACTGTTATTTTGACCTAATTATAAGATACCAATTCGTTTTGTCTATCATATTTATTTATTTATTTTAAAATAGTTTTTATAATAATGGTAGTTCTATCTAATATACTTGATTAATAAATATATTTTATAAAAAAATAATTATTTATTATAAATAATTAATTAATTATTTTTAATTTATTTAAATTAATTAATTAGTTTTTATGCTAAAGACGCATTTGTTATTATGTTGCCAAACTCTCCTAAATGGCAATCGCCACCCCCCCTTTTTCAACTACCCACTCACAAAACATGACACAAATATAGTCTTGATTTGCTGGTAATTACAAGTGAGCCATTCAATCCTTCACATCATTCTCCGTGTAACGCAAATCAAGGAACCTTAACCTGCCGGAACTCATAGCCCTATAAATGCACATGCAGCTATAAATAGGTGCCCTTATAGGTCGTCCTTTTTTAATTTCTTTTACATAACATTATCATGTTATGATATTAATTAATTTTATTTAATGGCAATTGTTTTAATATGAGTAAAACTATAAGTTTATTTTATTTTTAAATAAGATTACCACCTGATCTTATTTATAATTTTTAAGAGAAGAAATTTTATTGATTCTATTTTTATGTCATTATTAATTTTTTTAATAGGAGTATACAAATTTATTTTTTATTTATTATTGTGCAAATTATAATTTTTAAGAAAATATTATTAAATAGAGATAAAATTAAAAAAAATTTAAATTGTAAGATAAAATTAATGAAGTTTTTTTATTAAGAGAAATATTTTAAAAGATTGAGAGAATAATGACTCAATCACATCGACCATTATAAGGAATAAGATTGTGCTGGATTCTATTAACCCGTTTTCTGTATATTTTTGAGAAAAATTATGATTGTACCCCTGTTTTTAAAATAGGAAAAAATTCAGGAAATTTTTTTTGAAATTAGTATTTTTCAATTGAGACACTTAATACTTCAAAATGACATCGAAGAAAGTAATCATAAAATTAAAATTTTAAAATTTAATAAAAGTGACAAAAATGTTCTTTTCAGAATAACAATTTATTTGAGAATAATAAGTCTTGATTGTAATATAATAGGTATCAATTTGGAATTAATAACACGTTTTTTTTCTAATACATAACATATGAATTAATTAAAAAATACAACAATTTATTTGGAAATAACTAGTCTTGATTATGAAATTACAAATCTTAATTTGGGATTAACAATATATTTTTTTTCGATGGAATTAACAAAAAGGCATTTTTTTATTTTACTTGAATTTCAAAATTTTAATTTGGGTTTACTTCCTTCTCTGTCATTTTGAAGTGTTAGGTCTCTAAATTGAAAAATACTAATTTCAAAGTTCTTTTTTAAAATTTTTCCTTTAAAATACTCCTCCTGGTTCTTGTTACAAATTTTAAATAACTAATTTGTATAAAATAAAAATAATATTTAAAAGGAATAAATAAATTTAAAATATACTTTTATTTCTAAATATGCTCTTATAATAAATGAAAAAAAATATTTAAAAAATTACAGAGAAATGTGATGAAAAAGAATATGGTAAATGGGACATAGTAAATAATTAAGAAAAAAATTGAAAAAAAAATTAAATGTTAAGATAAATACAAATTAAAATTCATAAAATGTTTTACATTCTTTTTCAAATTTGAAATTATAAATAAGACTAAAAAAATATAGATTTTTTTTTAATTTTTTTACTTTATCCCTCCATATAAGAATTCATTCATTTTGTTTCATGCATTAAATGTATTTTTTTCCACTAAAATGCCTCTGATCTGGCTAATTCTCCATTCTTCGGTAAATAGTCATTTCTAATTAATACATCTCATCAATTAACTGTTAGGCATGGTTGTGAAAGCCAAGCACAAATACTGAACATATTTTTTTTAATGGAATATTTTTATCATACATTTTAAATTAACAATAATAGCTAATGAAGTACTACTTAAATTGGTTCAAAACATAAGCATCAAATAATTAAATCATGCAATTCAAAAAATTAATTAAAATTGGTTAAAGATAATAAAACTTATTTTTCTAAACCACTATTATTTATGAAGAGGATAAGCAAGACAGAGATCAAATGAGTGAAAAAAAAGGATCAGAAAGACATATAATTAATTATAAATGAAAAAATATATTGAGTGATTGGATAAATCAAAATCATATCTTATTGAAAAAAAAATTAAACCTTTTCAAAAATTGGACTCTTGTACTTTGCATTATAGAGAGGAAGGAATAGTCAAAAAGGCTTCTGGAAGGAAACGAGTAATTAAATGGTGAGAGCTGCTCAGCTCGGGCGCAATTATAGGCATTGATATTCACATATGTGGCCCATCGATACCGTGTTCACACGTAAAGCTTCGCGGAAGCCCGCTTGCGTTGACTCGTTGACTCCACTTGTCGGTCCCCATTATAAATCCCCCGCGCACACAGACGCCTGACGCAAGTTTGTCTGTGCAAGATCGGCCATCAATCGGGACCTTGTTGGTGGTGATGTCCAGCCAAGCTCCGACCAAGGGCTGCTCGACGTCACCACCAACAATATCCCCATTGACGATCGGAACGGCGTTTCTTTCTGATCGGAGAGTAGTCGCCGTTGGAGCTTGGTTTGCCGTGGCTCCGTCGTGGTTTGAACAGAAGAATGGAAACGGTGTAGGGAAATTGATCGGAGAAGATGGGTTATCAAGATCTTCTCTGACATCTGTCTTAGGTATGGCGGTGGTGGCCATCCAATTGGCGGTGTGGCCTTGGAAAAGAAGCCC